CCCTCACCCCCCCGCGTTGGAATTTCGAAAAATCCTTTCTTAGTGTGCGTTTCCATGACGTACCCTAACTGTGTACCAAATTTCACCTCTTTAGGTTAAGCGGTTTGCTCTGGGCGATGATGAATCAGTGAATGAATGAGTGAGTCAGTCAGGACAAGCAATTTTATATATTTAGATATATATATATATGCTATAATAATAATATATACGTAATTCTCTTCCTATATAAATGCATAGACAAACATATAGATACAATCGAACCTGCAATAACGGCCACCCCTAAACAGCGGTCATTTTTATGTTCCCGTCAATGGCCGTTGTTCAGAGGTTTACAAATGTATAAATTTATTTATTTATAGTTATTTTTACGTAATTAATTCACAGCTTGAAGCCATTATCAGTTTTGTTAACTAATTAAAAATGTTTCGAGTTAATAAAATGTAATGAAATTCATTTTTGCTTTTGATATTGATTTCTATTAATTCGTTATTACTACATTTTTACTAATTAAGAAACGTGATTGTGAACTGTAAGATATCTTTTCAATTTCCTTTCAACAACTTTATTCCAATTTCTCACTTATTAAAATTTCCACAAAAGTATACATTAAATTAATTTCTCTTTGACAAATATTAATTTGTGCCGTATAATTATATGACTGCGGTCAAACCTCGATACAGCGCACCGTTTGTTTGCCTCCTAAATGGATACTAAATCAAGGTTGCACTAAACTCAAGGGATTGGGATTGATGGAATAAGGCAACGCACACATGGGCGATCTTTCAGGAGGACTTTCTATGGGAAACTAACTCTTATTTAGGTCTTAGACAAGTGAAGTAAACCCGAAAACTCCACGTGGTCAGCCCGTTGATGAGGTGCGAACCCGCTACCAAAACAGAGTTTAGTACTTCTATCCTCTCGACCAATAACCGAAGGTCCTCGAACAATAAGAATTATATAGAACAATAAGTTTGAAGTTTTGAGAGTTTGAGTCACGTGATTTGATGATAACAATACCCTTTACAATGCGCTTATTAATTCACAGAGACCAAATCAAGAGGAAGATCAATTTTTGATTATTCGTTGAGGGAGGCGCTATATCGAGGTTTGGCTGCAATTACATTTTCTATTTAAATCTGCTTCCAAGATAATAGTTCTAGTTCTTAATACATTCAGCATGGAATTGTTTTGCATAAAAATATTTATTTAAGAATTTTTATTTAAATTTTCGAATGAAAGAAAAATACATTTTAAAAAACGATAAATTCGATAATATAATTAAAATAGAATATTTTTATAGTTTAATGTATTCTTCAAGTCATTTCCATAGCATAATATTATATTATTCATAAACTTTAAATCTCAACCATATTTTATTCATTAAGTTTCTAAAATTCAAATACTGATAGATTTAATCTATGTAAATATAATTTTTTTATTTATCGATATTTACAGGAAGAATAAAACGTTCTTTAGAGTATTTTATACCCACAAAAAAATAATACGTATATTACATTCAGTTCTATCGAATTTTATATCCTTAAGCGCACTTCACCTACTTTAAAATGGATTGTTAAACTCTTTTACAAACTCAAAGTATTAAATTATAGAATTAATTTGACATAAACATATAAAATTTTATTTTAAAAAATTATTTAAAATATAAGAATTTTTTGTAAATTAAGTAAATACTTGTTTTGAATTTCAACTGGTTATTAATTTAATATTTACTTGACATATAATTAATCATTTAATGATATAATTAAAACCTTATTTAAAAAAATAGTATTCATTAGCGGTTAATTTAATAAAAATATAAAATGTAAAGGGTTTAAATTTAATTAAAATTCATTAAATATTAATATTCAAACTTACAAGTTGAGGAGATATTTAGCATTTCAGAATTGGCCAAAGTTATGAATGTAAAAATTACAGCCAGCATTTCCATTAATATCACCTGAATAATTTAAAAAGTTTATTAATAAATAATGAAATAAACAATATATAAGTATAAAGTAGTAGTAATTTCTGTACTGTCTGTAGATGTTGACATATCGAAGGTTAAATTATTGATACTGTTACTAAAACTCGGGTTGCAGATTTTTAATACTCGACCGATTTTAATCATTAAAATTTTTGTTTCTATATTAAAATAATAGAGTCACAAAAATTGCATTAGGTTTAAACAAAGTTATTTGTCATTGTCAAGAGCAACGTGAAAGTTTGACGTGGCTTCAGCCCATTCTTTCCTTCTTTTTGACGACAGTTTAAATGCAATTTTCATTTACGGATTTCATATACAATAATTAATATTTAAATATTAAATCGGTTAATATATTATTTTAGTAAGTGATGTTTATTATTTTAAAAAGTTATTTTATAAAATAGAATAAAAGATAGAAAATAAATTGGATAATGAAAACTCTGATGAAATGCACAGTTTTGAGGTTATTTTCGATCATGATTTCAATTGTTTTTGAAAATGTTCTTACCTCTTTTTTTTTTACTTTTCATCAAAGAAAATATTCTTCCGAATGTGCTGAAGGAAATTGTCCTCTGTCGTCATTTCCCATGTGAATCAACCATCCGTTCCCTTATCTAGAATCACCTGTCAAAATCTCATCCACTCTAACTCGTTGCTTATCCATGGCAAAAAAAACCTTTTTTTTTTCTTTAACAATATTTCAAACATTTTCCATTTTTATCTTCACCATTAAACTTTAAAGTTAATAATAGATTAAGGTCATCGATACATAAAATTGCTATTTATGTATGATTTAAAATCTAGCAAACAGGCAAGAATTCTGTTATCATCCCTCCAACTTCTTGCTTTATATATATATATTTGAAATTAAAAGAATAAAAAATTGAAAATTTATTATTTAAAAACTAAAAATTGATTTGTTTTTACCCTTTACCGAAACGAAGATTTCGATAAATTGCATCTTTCGCTTTGGATTTGTTAAAGAAAATCAATATTGACGTGAATAACTACGTCATTAGTGATTAGATAATAGCTTTAATGCCACTACGACTTAAATGACGTAGGCTATTAATAAGGGATTCGAAGAGCCTACAAATGTTGGTTAAGGAGCTTTAATAGATTACAAACAAAATTTATTTCGAAAATCGCATTAATTATTATCTTCAATTTACAATCTCGTTATATAGATTATTAAAAACTTAACTTCCTGTATGTATGACTGTAGAGTATACCATTAGCTCTCTCCTACTTTGGACTTAAGATAAACATTTTGAATACATTTTGTTATATATATTATTTATTTATTACTATTAATTCGTTAATCAAAAGGATAGTAACCAGGAGTTAACAATGTTTCACTGATACAATTACGTGAANCTTTTATTTAAAAATAATAAAACATTATTCTATAAATTGTTTTATTTTTAAATAGTTTTCATTAATTAATAATATAGTCGAAATGTTTTTTCCATTATTTTAGTTTTTTAGCTTAATTTAAATATAAAATGGTTATTAGAAAAATAATTTAAATTTAAATGATGTTTACTAATAAATAATTATATTAAGTATAAATTTGAAAATTTTTATAATAAAGCATTTAAGATTTTTTTATGTTGTTTTAAAGTTCAAGATGTTCTTGTTCTACTGTATTCTGTCGTGATATGAAATTATTTTATAAATGATTCCATTTTAATTAGTCAATTGATTAATTAATTAATTAATAATCTTGTTAAATTATTAATGAAGGTTTCTTTCTGTTGTAATTTTATACGGGTAACCTAATATGATATTTCTTCTTATATATTTCCTGGAGACGAGGGGTGGTGTATACGTCGTCATGTTTATTTCCTTTTCTTCTTTCCTGCCTGTGTGTACATATGCAGGTGTGTGTTTGTGTCTATGTTGATATGTAAAGAGATTAAGGACTAGTAGATTAAATATATTTATGTCAGCACGTCGTACAGTATGATATTTATATCAAACCTAGAAAGAATTAGATGTTTACGTTTTTGGACTCGAGGGCCCTTGAAACATCGAGAAATACAAAAAATTTCGGGTTTTTTTTCTGTATGTATGGATGTTAGTGAGTGTGTGAGGGACCACGATTTTGTCCACCATATTTAAAGCTTAATAATTCCTGTGCTTTCCGTTGAAAGTTTCCGAAATTTTGCAGGGAGATTTGCGAGCTTCTCTCTCTCTCTCTCTTTTTTTTTTTTGACATATCCAAAACAACGTGCTACCAAAAATATTAAATTAATCTTTTATATTATTGGCAATTCTTTGCATTCTTATATAAGTCAATATCATCATTCTTTCGTCTTGCATCCAGTAGAATAATTCTTCAAGTGTACTTCACTCGTCAAGAGGTTGAAGGCTAAACTTATAAATAATGAAACAGTTAATTTTCATTTCTGAGAAAGTAAATTGCAAATAATAACGTGTATAAAAAAAACTAACATTAAATTGCTTTAACAATATTATATTCGTATTCTGTGTATTAAAAATTATGGAATTTAAAGCATAGAAGAGTCATCAAATTAGTATATTTAACGTTTACTTAGAGCTGTATAATTACTGAAAATTAATTGATTATATAGAATATTTAAACCTCGATATAACGCCACACCTGTAAAGCGATAATGAATATATATTCATAAATATTACACCATCCTTCAAATTTTGAATCATTTGAACTCGAATCTATGTATAGAACTAGCTGATATATATGTATATATATATATTTCTTATTAGTTGAGATAGTTCTTGTAGCTGAATTTAGGGCTACACTCGATTTAGTGACAATTTTAGAGTTAAAAAAGTGTGGTGCTAAATCGAATTTTAATAGTTCTTTAATAGATAAATATGCTTTAAACTGCTATATTAATATGAAAACAAAACTACAGAGACCAGTTATAAAATCTACTTTATACATGCAGCTAATAAAAAAAAAAAAAAAAAAAACATTTTCAGCAACGAGTTATGTAACTTTCCCGGCAAAAAGTTTAAAATTGCGTATGGAGCCATCTGTTGCGATATATTATTTTAAAAACTTTGTATATTATTAATTATTATAAAATGACAAAAAGATAATTTTGAGGATGGAATATGGGTTTTATAAAAAAAAAAAAAAATTGTAAATGCTAATAACGAAGAAAATATTCATTAAACCCGACTCCGCTAGAGATACGACACACGATCTCGTTTATCTCCCCACCCCGTTGACCTTTAACCATCAAAATTTAATAAAATTAATGAACCTAATAAACAAACCACCCTGCAAAATTTCAGAGATTTTCGACAAAAAGCACAGCAGTTACTAAGCCCCAAAAAGTGCGAACAAAATTATACCCTCCCTCCGCATATACACAAATATTCATATATACAGAAATTTCTCGCGAATTTTTGCGCATTTCTCGACATTTCAAAGTCCCATGAGTCCAAAAATGTAAAAATCCTAGGGATCGTTCATTGACCGATCGTCATATTTTCCCTGTGTTATATAAAACAACAGGATAAATAAAATTAATTTAAAAAATGTTTAAATGTATATATTTTTAAAAAATTAAAGCTAATTTTTAATTTAAATGTAAATTATTAAAAAAA